GAGAGAGAGAGAGAGAGAGAGAGAGAGAGAGAGAGAGAGAGAGAGAATGATCCTCGGACAACTCATCGCAATGAGTGATCGCTCGTGTTGGACGGTGAAGTGTGAAGTGTGTCCTTGCTTACTTTCTATATTTGCGATCTATAATTCGCTAACTTTATCTTTTAATAACTCAAAGAGTATAGTAAGTGTCAGATAATATTTTCGTAGAGAAAAAATCATCTCAGAATTCAGTTAGGAATACGGCTTTGTAAGGTCGATTATTCTGAACTATTATTCTGAATGATTATTCTGAATTACCCTATATATAAATTATAAAATAAGTATTTTTTTAAATTTCTTACTTTATAATTTTCAAAATAACTTATGATGACTATGTTCCGATATTCACTATCAGTGCTGAAAATGCATTGTGCTCGTATATAATAAATTTTCAGTACTGGCAGTGAATACCGAAATACGGCCAAAATATGAAGAAGTTTGACATTTTTTTTTTAAATCTTCATTAATTTAAAATATGAAGAATTCTCAAAATATTAAAAGATATAAAACTTTTTTAAGAATAATTTTCTTTAAATGCAAAATTACAAAATATATTTTTTTTCTTTCAGGAAAGGAACCGTTTATCTTATAACGAACGATCAAAGTCCTTTTGGATTGAAGGAACAAGGATTCTTGACTTGATTGTGCTACGTTGAGAACCACAATATAAAAATGATACTGGAAAAATTTTAATAAAATAGAAATAGTCAATTCTGTTACTAGTTATAAAAGAAAAAAAGTAACTAGAGAGAATATATATCGGCTTCTAATGTGCATATTTTATCATGCTACATTCATTATATAATAATGCAACAACTGAACAACTTACTTTATTCTTCATAATAATCGAATCATCGTTGCTATATTATTCCATCCAGACTTGTTTTCTGTCGCACACAATAAAATGTCATCATCAATTTAATGTCCAATTGGCAATTGTCACATGACTACTATTTTTATTATTCGATATATTCTTATCATTTAAATTTAAATTTGTAGAAAATGGATAACTGGATTTTCGAGAAGTCTTATTAAAGTATATATAGATTCAAAAATATTATGCTGGCGATAAGATCTATGACTCGCGTATATCGATCGTGATGACAATAGAGATATATAGTGAACGTAGTGAATTAATAACAATGTTTATTTTTAAATAAAATGAAATAAGGCGGAATTTACAGTATAATAACTCTAGCATGCCTTTCATAACGTACAGATAGTCTTTAGAATTGCATGTAACGTTTTATGGGTCGATTAGCAAAACTTATTTATGTATGAATTATCTATAAGTGAGAGAAAATAAAAAAAAGCCATACAGCAAGAAACGCTGACATAAGGAAATGGAAACTGCAATATAATAACATCCTCAGAACGTTGTTTCACAAGAAATATTTTTTTATCGAGACCTTATCTAAGATCTTTGAGACCTTTCTTTATACTTGTAAGAGAACGATGCACACTCTTCCGTTATCGTTTGCGTTATTAACATACACCGGATACTGGCGACCCGTTCATTTTACATCCATCAAGTATTGGACGTACACCATTTATTCTATTGTAATGAATTTCCTACTATACTCATTCACATTTTGTGGTTTAGTTGACTGTTTTATACTGAAGGATCTCGAAACTTTCATCGAGAAATTCTCGCTGTTCCTGACAGTACTTGGTGTTAGCTGCAAAGTTATAAACCTGGCAGTACGTCGGGATGAAATTATTGGTCTCAGCAATATGCTACTGCAAGACATTTGCATACCCCGAAACGATCAAGAAACGGATATTCAGCGACGCTTCGATCGCAATGCGAAGTGCGTATGAAATACAATTCTGTAACAATAGAGTTTTGTATGATTAAATTTTACATCATTCTTAAAACGATCTTTTCGAAATAAGAGTTAAAGAAAAAGTTCAATACTTAAAATTTAATAAATTGAATAAAATAAATACTCATAGAAATATTTATAAACAGTGCAACACATACATTAAGATAAAAATCATATAAAAAAAAGCAAAATATTTTGAACATCATTTTTATTATAAATAAAATTCTCAATAATTAATACATCATCATTTAATGATATTCTAAAAATTTAAATCACTATGACCAACCAAAGATGATCACAAAGAGAAGTATACGTACATATATATGTGCTCAACGGCTATGCAAAGATCGAAACACAAAAGTAGAGCGATGTATTGATTGTAAAAGATTGTAATTCTTATTTTGAATATTGGGTAATTATTGCGAAAAAGTTAAATCTCGCCGATGACTTCACCTGACATATATATGACTTGTATCATAACTCCAACTGATTTTAGCCGTCATTAAGTTAAAAGAAATTGTTTATTAACAAAAGAAGTTTAAAAAAACGTCCCTTTGTATTATATAGGGTCTTTCAATAGGGACGCTCGAAATTTGTTCATATCATAGTAGCCATGTTGTTAAAGTGACATCTGTCAAATTTGTTGTGAATTGTTTAATAGTGTATGGCAAATCACCATGGAAGATCGTAGTGTTGAGCAATGTGTGCAAATCATAAAATTTTATTATCAAAATCAATGCTCCTTTCGAGAAACGTTCCGCGTATTATGTGATTTTATCACCACAATCGTCCTGCTGAGTCGACTATTCGAAGTTTGGTGGCCAAATTCGAGTCAATCGGTTCGATAAATAATCAGCCAACACCAGTACGTCGCCGAAACGCAAAGATCTGCTGAAAACATCGCTGCTGTGCGTGAGAGTGTACGGGAAAACCGGAGGCGATCAATTTCTCGTCGTTCACAAGAACTTGATCTTTCTGCGATTTTAACTTGGCGAATTTTGCATCGGGACTTGGTTTGCACCCCCATAAAATTCAACTGAGGAATTCAACCAGGAACTTAAAGTAAACGACCATAGACAACGCCGTGTGTTCGCTAATTGGGTTCTGGAGCAGTTGGAAGTTAACCCAAATTTCGCCAAACAAATCATCTTTAAGGCCCATTTTTGATGATGAGGCCCATTTTTGGATGAATGGATATGTGAACAAGCAAAATTGTTGAATTTGGGATAATACCAATCCACGCGAAATATACCAGTTCCAAATGCATCCCGAGAAAGTTACTTTGATGCGGATTTTGGTCTGGCGGAATCATCGGTACTTCTTCCAAAACGAAGCAGGCGTTGCCATAACCGTCAACGGCGAGCGCTACAGATCGATGATAAGCTTGTGATCTAAAATGGATGATATGGATATCGATAACATATGGTTCCAATAAGATGGCGCTACGTACCGCACACCACTGTGCCACTACATACCGCATGCCACGATGGACATTCTGCACGAGCGATTTGAGGACATCTCCCGCGGCGGCGACGTGAACTGGACCGAAAATTGTGCGATTTAACGCCTTTAGACTTCTTCCTTTGGGGCTATCTTAAATCGCAGGTCTATACGAATAAAACGCAAACAATTGATGCTCTTAAAGTCAACATAACAAACGTCATCCAGTAAATTCAGCCAGATTTATGCGAGAAAGTCATCGAAAATTGGACTACCTGAATACGTGTCACCAAGCGAAGCCGCGGTGGACATTTGAGCGATGTTATATTCCATACCTAATGCTATAAAATATTCTTTCAAATAAAAAAAAAATTGAGTGGATATCTCACACACAACTTGTTTTGTTTACATTTAAAAATCGAGCGTCCTTATTGAAAGACTCTTTATAGAATAAAAGTTCTCTGCTTTAAAATAGATTTCCTGTTTTAAAAACAAAAATTTTCTTTTAAAACATTTTCGCATCATTTTTGTTATTATATAGTAGCACATACGATTATATCGCTAAGTGATTTTTATCCCACTTCCCTGCTTAGGGGCGCACGACTTTCACCCGAAGCAATTCTTACCCCTCCACCCCCTCTTGTTTGGAGATATACGATTTTCACTCTAAGCGAGATACATTTTGTAACAAAAGCATTTGGATTGGCAAAAACTTTCGGCACCCTGTGTACACACACACACACACACACACACACACGCACACACACACACACACACACACACACGCACACACACACACACACACACACACACGCACACACACACACACACACACACACACGCACACACACACACACACACACACACACGCACACACACACACACACACACACACACACACACACACACACACACACACACATATACAGGATGTTAAGTATGATACTATACTCAACAATTCTTTAATTTATTTCAAGTAAAAAAGGACATATAAACATATGTCCTAAACGGCTTAATTTCCGAAATAAAAAAAAATTTAAAGTGTAGTAGTAAGTAATCTATTTATTGGAAAGAAATACAGCTTGTATTAGTCAAAAACTAGTCAAAAACAGAAAAAACAGGCTATTCCTTAAGAAAGAACCCTTTTCTCGAAAATAGCGGTGAATATTCGCAAACGTTTTATGACATTGTAAATTGCGTTGGGGATATCTTTCTGCATAAATTCGCCTTGTCGTGAGTTACCATTTGCAAGACTGTAGGCATATCAAAAATTTGTAAACTCATTATGAAACCGATTTTGATGGACCGAAATGAATTTGGTCCGAAAACGAATGAACAAGCTAACTGAACTGCAGCAACATTAGAACTGAAGTCTATTTTTGATTTTGTGACTTTGACTTTAACTTTGTCATTTTGTTTACGATTGTGCAAACTCACGTGAAACAAGGCATATTTATGCAGGAAGATATCTTCAACATAATATACTGTTTCGTCAAACATTTGCGAATATTCACCTGTATTTCGGAAACTAAGCCGTTTAGGATACATGTTTATATGGACTTTTTTACTTGAAATAAACCAAAGAATCGCTCTGTTGAATATGGCAACGTACAAAACTAACACTCTTAAATATTAGGTATACAACTTTGTTTCCGCCGTTTTCCTAATTGGCTTTAGCGGTGGAGGAAATAAATAGATCATAGACGTTATACAATAAACTTGGGCATCTGTCAACATAACCCCATAGAAACATTAGTCGATTTGTGTCTGCATCATAAAGTTATTCTCGATTGAAAATGTCAAATTCTCGTCATTTGCGGGAGGTTTTAATTTTTTGCTTCAATATGAAGAAATCTGCGGCTGAGGCTCATCGAATGCTCTCAAATACTTATGATGAGGCTATTAGTGAAAGAACGTGTCATGAGTGGTTTCAACGCTTCAAGAACGGTGATTTTGATGTCGAAGACTGGCATAACGGTGGAAGAGAGAAGGTTTTCGAAGATGCAGAATTGGAGGCATTACTTGAATAAGACTCGTGTCAAAATCAAGAAGAATTGGCACAATCATTGGGAGTGACTCAACAAGCCATTTCAAAATGCCTCAAAGCCATGGGAATGATTCAGAAGCAAGGAAATTGGGTGCTGTCCGAATTGAAGCCGAGATATGTTGAACGGCGTTTGTTTGCTTGTGAACAGCTGCTTGAAAGGCAAAGACGGAAGCGATTTCTGCATCGCATTGTGACTGGGGACGAAAAATGGGTTCATTACGATAATCCCAAGCGCAGAAAATCATGGGGAGTTCCCGGTCATGCTTCCACGTCGACGGCCAAACCGAATATTCACGGCTCCAAGGTCATGCTCTGTATTTGATGGGACC